ACACTTTTGAGAGAGCACATATTTTTTCTTTCTATTTTGTCACATATCTCTTCCATCTTAAAGTGGGATAATTATCACAAAGGACACGTAGATTTTAATTGATTATGTATTTTTCTATATTTGCTTGATACTTTTTATTTGATTGAGTCCAGTTAATGAAAGTTTGCATATGCAAATTAAATTCAATCGCCACCAATAGGAAAAATCCATCCCATAAGTATAAAATAAGACATGATGTTACCGTGGAGTTATGAATGGATGTGGACGTGGTAATTGACGAAATTATAATTGTCATCATTATGGTAATGAGAATAATAATTGCTCTCAAAATAATCCTTCACTTTGTGAAAGTGATGTTTGCTATTGATATGGCATGAGATTTTATGAAGCACGCATGGATTATTATGTTACATTCCTGAAGTGAATGTGAAAATAATGTGATAATTATTATGAATACATATTCATTCTTACAAGAATATGAACGTGCTAGTGGTAGTAAATATACCACACTTACCTCGAGAAGGGGGTTTGAGATTAAATAAGAAAATAATGTCATTATTATGGCATGAATGGTCATTGGTTACGTACCTATTGTACGCCAAAATATTTTGTCAATGTGATTATTAAAGGACAACAATAATGCAAGAAACAGATCTTCCATCTAATTTTGACCATGACCATAATGGTATAACTTTCTCTTTAAAAGAGATATTCACCATATAGATGCTGATGAATATATGGTAGTACAAAATTAATTGAAGGCTCTGGAAGAGCTACTATAACTCTGCCTAAGGGAACAATACTTATCATAGATAATGCAATGTTCTCCTCCAAGTTCAAGAGGAACTTATTGAGTTTTAAAGATATCCACCGAAATGGATTTTATATTGAGACAATAGATGAGAATAATCTCGAATATCTCATCGTTACCAAGAATGTCTCTGGCCAGAAAAGGGTTATTGAGAAGTTCCCATCTTTATCTTGTGGCCTGTATTGGACAAGAATTAGTGCAATTGAGGAACATTCTATCGTAAACCAAAATGTTACTAATTCCAATACTTTTGTACTTTGGCATGATCGATTGGGACATCCCGAATCAATTATGATGAGACGAATTATAGAGAACTCAAATGGGCATCCATTATAGAATTTAAAGATTCTTTTAAATAGTCAATTTTCTTGTACTTCTTGTTATCAAGGCAAGTTAATTATTAGACCATCACCAATAAAGGTTGGGATTGAGTCCCCTGCGTTTTTGGAACGTATACAAGGAGATATTTGTGGACCTATTCACCCACGTAGTGGGTCGTTTAGATATTTTATGGTCTTAATAGATGCATCTTCTAGATGGTCTCATGTATGCCTATTGTCATCTCGTAACCTGGCATTTGCAAAATTAATGACATAAATAATCCGATTACGGGCACAATTTTTCGATAATCCAATTAAGTCTATTAGACTTGATAATGACACTGAGTTTTTATCCCAAGCATTTAATGATTATTGATTATCAATTGGGATAAAAGTGAAATATTCTGTAGCTCATGTTCACACTCAAAATGGCCTTGCAGAACCTTTAATTAAACATATGTAATTGATAGCAAGACCATTACTCATGAAAACCAAGTTACCCACTTCAGTTTGGGGTCATGCCATTTTGCATGCAGCAATGCTAATTCGTCTCAGACCGACAAATTATCATAAATATTCCCCGTTGCAATTAATTTTGGGTCATGAACCTAATATATCTCATCTAAGAATTTTTGGATGCGCTGTATATGTGTCTGTAGCACCGCCATATCGCACCAAGATGGGTCCCCAAAGAAGGTTAGGAATATATGTTGGGTTTGAATCTCCCTCCATTATTCGCTGCCTTGAAACATTAACGGGAGATTTATTCACTGCTCGATTTGCAGATTGTCGATTCGACGAGGCATTTTTCCCAATTTTAGGGGGAGAAATTGGTGAAACCAAAGGTGAAATTTTGTGAAAAAATACATCATTATCTCATTTTGATCCACGTGCCTCTATTTATGAAAAAAATGTGCAAAAGATTATCCATTTGCACAAAATAGAAAATCAAATGCCATATGCATTTACGGATCTGATAACAAAATCGCATATCCCTGCAGAGAATGTTCCAATCCGTATTGATGTCCATGTTGGACAATCTTCTAGTGTCATAGCTAATGAGTCAAAAGCATGCTTAAAGCGTGGCAGACCATTGGGTTCTAATGATCGAAATCCTAGAAAAAGGAAAATAAATGATCAAGATGACACTACGAAAGAGTCTCATAAAGAAACCCATAATTTAACCAATCATGAGATTCATGAGGATATCGATGAGCCTGAGACTCAAAAAAATAAGAAACTATCAATAAATCCAATCGATATTGAGACAAATTTGAATCGATTGAATATAGTGGTGGATTATGTCTTTGCATACAATATTGCATCTAGCATTATGCAAGATAATGAGAATCTTGAACCTCAATCTGTTGGAGAATATCGACAAAGACGTGATTGACCAAAATGGTAAGAAGCAATCCAATCTGAGTTGGATTCACTTTCGAAATGTGAAGTTTTGGGATATGTAGTCCAAACACCTAATGGTGTTAAACCTATTAGCTATAAATGGGTCTTTGTACGAAAAAGGAATGAGAAAATGAGGTACAAAGATATAAAGTACGCCTTGTTGCACAAGAATTTTCACAAAGACCTGGTGTCGATTATGAAGAGACGTATTCTCTTGTTATGGATGCTATAACGTTCCGTTATCTCATTAGTCTTGTTGTCTATGAAAAGCTTGACATGTATTTAATGGATGTGGTTACAGCCTACCTTTACGGCTCACTTGATAATGAGATATACATAAAAATTTCCGAGGGATTTCAAATGCCTGACGCACATAATTCAAAGTCCCGAAAAATATTTTCAATCAAATTGTAAAGATCTTTGTATGGTCTAAAGCAATCAGGAAGAATGTGGTATAACAGCCTTAATGAGTATTTATTAAAGGAAGGTTATATAAATGATGTCAAATTTCCATGTGTTTTTATAAAGAAAACAACATCGGAGTTTGTTGTACTTGCTGTGAATGTTGATGACATAAACCTTATTGGAACTCCTACAGAACTCCAAAAGGCAATTGATTATTTAAAGAAGGAATTCGAGATGAAAGATCTCGGAAAGACAAAATTATGTCTTGGTTTGCAAATTGAACATTTGGCAAACAGGACTTTTGTTCATCAATCTGCCTACATAGAAAAGGTATTGAAACAGTTTTACATGGATAGAGCACATCCATTAAGTACTCCGATAATTGTTCGATCACTTGATGTGAATAAGGACCTGTTCTGACCTCAAGAAAAGAATGAAGAACTGTCCTGAAGTATCATATCTTAGTGCAATTGGTGCACTAATGTATCTTGCTAACACTACAAGGCCTGACATAACTTTTTCAGTTAATGTCTTAGCAAGATATAGCTCGGCTCCTACAAGGAAACATTGGAATAAAATTAAACACATATTGCGGTATCTAAAAGGGACTACCGATATGGGCTTATTTTATTTCAATGATTGCAACCCCGATCTTGTTGGTTATGCCGATGCTGGGTATTTATCTGACCTACACAAGGCTCGATCTCAAACTGGCTATGTGTTTACATGTGGAGGCACTGCAATATCTTGGCGATCGACTAAGCAATCAATTGTGGCTATTTCATTTAACCATGCTGAGATAATTGCTATTCATGAATCAAGTCGAGAATGTATATGGTTGAGGTCTATAATACATTGTATTCGAGACAAATGTGGTTTGAAGTGTGACAAACTACCCATAATTTTGTATGAAGACAATACAGCATGCATAGCCCAACTGAAGGGAGGATTCATAAAAGGAGATAGGACAAAGCACATTTCACCAAAGTTATTTTTGACACATGATCTTCAAAAGAATGGTGATATCAATGTGCAACAGATCCATTCAAGTGATAATATGGTTGATTTGTTCACCAAATTTCTACTGACGTCAACCTTCAAGAAACTAGTATACAAGATTGGGATGCGAAGGCTCAAGGATGTGAATTGATGCTCTCATCAGGGGGAGCTAATATGCGGTGTACACTTTTTCCCTTACAAGGTTTTGTCCCACTGGGTTTTTCTTGCAAGGTTTTTAATGAGGCAACCAAAAAGCATATTTCTAAACATGTGTACTCTTTTTCTTTCACTAGGATTTTTTTCTAATAAGGTTTTAACGAGGCACATTAT